AGGAATCATTCTGCAAATGTGACTTCCGCTCCCTTGACAGAGTGTGAAGAGTCACTTATCTCTGCAGAATAATAAAGATTAACTTGCAGCATCATTGCTATCAACCATCTCCAAGCTCTCAACTTCAGTGTAACAGACCGCAGTATCTCCTAGTTGCTCTATAAAGCAAGTCTCACCTTTATGCCTGTTGTTTTTTCTTTTCAGTATTTGTAAAGTGTTTTCTTCTGCTGTCTCTTCTGTGTTCTGTAAGAAAATCAAAACATCTTTTTACGTCATACTGACATTTGCTGCTTTGTTTTCATTGTAGTACTTCTACATTAGCAGAAAGATAAAAAGCAGCCCATATCTCTGTAAACAGTCAGCTTCTCTGCAGAGCTAACAACAGTCCTCTCCAGATATTCCATTTACAAGAAGGGCAGCAAGAATTTCTTCAAAGCAAAAACTCTTTAGCCCAACACCTGGGACACCACCCTCCTTATCTAGTGCATTTGCAAACAGCACCGATGTTGACAAATGCCTTCTGCTAACTCCCAGTGCAGATAACATTTAGTTGCCTAGACCTGATGTAATACTGGAAAGCACTGGAGAAAAGGAATATTTTTCTTTTCTTTTGGACAGAACGCAGTCATTCTCTGCTGTTCCCCATCATAACACAGTGCTACAAATCATTCTTAAGCTCCATCACAAAACTCCACCAGTGTAAAAATGTAGTGCTCACACAACAGTGAACAATTTATGCTGCAGTGATAAATCTTCAAGTCCCTCAGGTTCTTACATGCAGTGTTTGTATTGATTTCTGAGATTGCTAGCACTGGAGAGCAGCAGAAACAGCACATTAGCACAGGTAACAGGTCAAATGAATCTCAGTCATAACACCAGGAACATAAGTGAATTTACAGCTGAGAAATTCTTGGAGACAAATAACCTGCCCCTGTGAGAGTACTACGTAAAAGCTGCAAAAATCACCCATGTCCCCTCACCGTGACCTCCCTTTAATCTCAAGACCTGGGAAAAGCACAAGGTTTTCCCAAAGAAAACTGGATGTTCATTCCTCTAGAGAGGAGAAATCCCAATGCCCAAGAGTCAGTGGGAGTTCCCCTACATTCTTCTGTGGGGCCAAGAGAATCACCTCAAAACTTAAAATCAGCCTTATTTACAGATTTTTCTAACAACAGCCTGTTAAACCACTCCTCCTGCAACCAGAGGGATGCTCTGCCTGAGAGTTTGAGGAACCCTTGGGAAGGGGCCACCTTTACTGGCAGAGCAAGAACTGCCTGACCAGCCACGCTCACCACGAGCACGGGCACACAGAGTAAGTGCTGGTTTAAAAGGCCAAGCGACTCATTAAAAACAGGTTTCCACGGTAACTGTGTCAAACCCTAAGCAATTCCAAGGGCCACAGTAATTCCAGAGGAAAGAATCCCCAAAGGGAAGCTCCTTCTGGTCATGTAAAGATCCCAGCCACGGAGTCAGCTTGGTTCCTATCGCGTCTGTGCTGGGTTACCCAAGGGCAGCCCCAGCTCTGCCTGAAGCAGTTTCAAGCACAAACAGTTTTGTTTTGACAAACAATAAGACCAAAACAACGCAGCATAAAGTCATTGGTTCTGCGAGGAAGTCTCTGTCTGAATACACTGTTGAAATACTTCACTGTAGAAGTGCTTTGCTGCAGCAGATGGGGGTTCCTGTTCTATAACTACTTTAATTCAGAATTACCATTTGTGTTGTGATGGTCGAAGCTCTCAGTGCACGTCTTTTCCTCTTATTAGCTCCATCTAGAATCAGAAACAATAAAGTAACAAGTGTGTCAACCTCAGACTGACAATTTCACATGGTTCAAATTCTCTCTTTTTCCAAAAACCTACAAGAGTGAAGCACTTAGGGTGGCAAGGCATGGGGACGTTTCAGCTTCCCCAAATACCTGACACTTGAGTAGAATTCACGTTATTTCCATGTAAGAAGCATTACAAGCCTGAACCGTTAGGAAGAAGTGCAAATCAACTGTAGCATTAGGATATCACTTTATCCTTTAAACTCAGTATAACAGAAACTCTAGTTTTTAACATAAGGTTTTTGATTGTGGTGGAGTGAACTTATTCGCCCTGGCAGCAGCACTACCTCTAGGTGGTAAAAACCTCGGGCAAATTTATGAAAGATGACTGTTATGGGGGTTTTTTTTCAGTCAGTTCTTGTTTATGTTAACACACCCTCAAAACTAAGACGACAGAAAGAATTGTTTTAGATATCCCAAAGACATACAAATGGCATTAGCTTTTCCAGTGCTACAATGACCCTCCTAGAAAGCCTCCAGAAGAAATTTGACTTGTAAGTTTAATATTATTTATGCCACAAAGTGGTTTTAGTGACATTTTGAGATCTCCTCAAAATCATCTGCGTTCACCCTGTCCTTTCTATCAGCGTGCACTAGCCCATCTCCAACACGATAACCAGCAGCTGCTGAAAACAGTTACAGCATCGCAAGCAGAGAAGGGTAAGGCAAGGACGACGTGGTGGGAGCAGAGCGAGCTAGAGAAGAGTTCAAACACCCACCAAAACCCAAGGGGTTTAAATGTAGTGGGGTTATATGCCCTTATTCTGGTTTTGGCTGGAATAAAGTTAGTTTTCTTCCTAGTAGCTGGAATAGCGCTGTGTTTTGGATTTAGTGCGAGAGCAATGTTGATAACACGCTGATGGTTTAGTTGCTTGCACCAGGCCAAAGACTTTCCAGCTTCTCACTCTGCCCTGCCAGCGGAGGCTGGGGCTGCACAGGGACCTGGGAGGAGATGCAGCCGGGACAGCTGTCCCAAAGTGGCCTCAGGGATATCCCAGTCCATACATAAACTGGGGGGAGTTGGCCAGGGACCGCTGCTGCTCAGGAACTGGCTGGGCATTGGTCAATGGGTGGTGAGCAACTGCATTGTGCATCACTTGCTTTGTATATTCTAATTATTTTATTATTGCAATTGTCATTTTATCATCATCATCATAATTTCCTTCTTTTTCTGTCCTATTAAACTGTCTTTATCTCAACTCATGAGGTTTGGTTTTTTTAATTCTCTCCCTAATCCCACTGGGTGGGGGGGAGTAAATGAGCAGCTGCATGGTGCTCAGTTGCTGGCTGGAGTTAAACCACAACAGCTCCCTTCCCACTTAACTCTGCATCCTTAGGGCAGCACTTTGTTAGGGCTTTTCCTGTTAGAAACCATCCTGTTAAGAGGAACAAGGAGTTACTGTTGGTACAGAAAGGCTGTTGAAACAAGTTCAGGTTTTGGGCACTGGTTCTGTACATTTGCATTTTTCATGGCCTGAAATGAGATAAAGCTGCGTGGCCTCATTTGGAGCCGTGCAGGAGATGCTGGAGTAGGAACAAAAAATTCCTTGCTGTCTAGCATGACTTCTTTGACCTGTGGTGGGATTTTCTCAGCTTTTCCTGATGTTTGCTTTAGACATGCCTTATAAAACAAGGGGAACACAGTCTCAAGAGCAGCCCAACTCTTCCTGCTCCCCACAGCGCTCTCTGCTCTTCTACATTTGCCAGCCTTTACTCTGGGCACATTCAATACCTGCAGTTAAGTAGAAGTTGGAGCCCCTTTCCAAGTCCAAACTGGCCCCCTTCCCTGATGCACAGAGCTGCAAGGAGATCTCTTGGCCCTTAAGGCAGGCTTGTCCCCTTCCAGTCACAGCA